CGGTCAAAATGAGACGACAATTTGATGACAGTTTTTCCTTTTTTTCCCGGGACAGTCTCAGTCCTGAGTCTGTGTTTGTCTCACAGATTTAAACAAAACCACAGATTTGTCATGATCCAACTTAAAGTCAAAACAAAAGAACAAAATGGACACAGACGTGAAATGAAACTGAGTCAGATCATTAAACACAAAGACAAATCGAAACAAGAAACTGAGGAAGTGATTAAAAATAAAATCCAGATTCTTCTGTAATATTGAGTATTTTTAGATTTATTGTTAGAAAAACTGTTTAGAGTTTAAGATATTTCTTAATGTCCAGAATATTGATTTTCAATCAGGATCTGGATTTGGAGAATTTGGATTTATAGATGTGAAATGTTCTGAACAGAGCGAACAGATCGAATATTCACTTTTATGTTGTTTATGATCATAAACAATATAAAACTCAACTATAATACATATACAACAGATAAGATCAACTATAATAACATTTAACTATAATATAATAAAATAAGAATAAAAAAGTATAATAAAGTTAAACTAAAATAAATAAAAAATATAATAAAACTATAATAAAGTTTTTTATTATAACTCCGTGATTATGACGCACTATGAGGCTGCGTGTACGTGCCCACGCTGTGCTACGTCATCACGCTGCCGGGACGTGAGCCAGGACGCGCGCTTTTGGTGGAAGTCTCGCGCAGACCCGCACGGACCCGCGCTAAACTCTGTCAGAGTGCGTTAAAGTGCAGCGGAATGGCGCAGGCGCAGAAGATCTACTTTTGCGGCAGTATCCGCGGCGGGAGAGACGATGTGCACGTGTACCAGCGCATCGTGCACGTGCTCCGGACCTACGGCACCGTCCTGACCGAGCACGTGACCGACGGACAACTCACCGACACCGGTATGACGTCATCACCGAGGCCTGGTTCAGTACAGGTCTAATCCTGGTCTAGATCTGGTCTAGTCCAGGTCTAGTCCAGGTCTAGTCCTGGTTTAGTCCTGGTTTCTTTCTGTTTTTTCAGTAAATCTTCAGGTTAAACTTTGGCCTGTTTCTTGTTTTCAGGTGAAGTTTCTGAGTCTGGAGACAAACAAATCCACGACCGAGACCTGGACTGGCTCCGACAGAGTCACGGTTAGTACTCACAGTACTATTACTACTAGTACTACTAATATAACTACTACTTTTACTACTAGTACTACTATTACTACTAGTACTACTAATATAACTACTACTTTTACTACTAGTACTACTATTACTACTAGTACTCGTCAGTCAGTCTCAGCAGAGACTCTCAGACTTCCTTCACCCCAGACACTTCCTCCAGCTCCTCCAGTGGGACCTGAGGTGTTCCCAGTCCAGTCCAGAGACATGGTCCCTCCAGTGTGTCCTGGGTCTCCTCCTCCTCCTGCTGGGACATGAACACCTCCTGAGGGACACGTCCAGGAGACGTCAGAACAGACGTCCTCCCCTCAGACGCTCCTCTCCACGTGGAGGAGCAGCGGCTCTACTCCGAGCTCCCACCTCTGTGTCTAAGGGAGACGCCCGGTTGTGTCTCTTGTATCGTGGATCTGGTCCTTCGGGTCATGACCAGAGGTGAGGGGAGGAACAGAGACTGAATCCAGACTCAGCTCCTCTTCACCACAACGACCGATACAGAGACCACATCACTGCCCACGCTGCACCTGTCCACCTGTCAATCTGCCCACGCTGCACCTGTCCACCTGTCAATCTGCCCACGCTGCACCTGTCCACCTGTCAATCTGCCCACGCTGCACCTGTCCACCTGTCAATCTGCCCACGCTGCACCTGTCCACCTGTCAATCTGCCCACGCTGCACCTGTCCACCTGTCCAGTCTGCCCACGCTGCACCTGTCCACCTGTCAGTCTGCCCACGCTGCACCTGTCCACCTGTCAGTCTGCCCACGCTGCACCTGTCCACCTGTCAGTCTCTCGCTTCATCCTCCCCTCACTCGAGAACAAGACACATACTTTTTTTTTTGCAAATGTTGCTCCTGATTTTCCCAGAGTCTCTGTTTAGACCCAGACCCAGACTCAGACCTCAGACCTCAGACCCAGACTCAGACCCAGACAGACTCAGACCTCAGACTCAGACTCAGACCTCAGACTCAGACTCAGACCCAGACTCAGACCTCAGACCCAGATCGGGTCGTGGGCTCCAGAGGCGTATCAGGTTCAGACTGTGAACTGTTTTAAACCTGCTTCAGTCCCAAGTTTGACCCTCAGTTCATGTTTAAAAACTGAACTGTGCTTCACAATAAGAATAATAATATTGTTGTGTTGATGTATTGATATTGTTGTTGTTGTTGTTGTTGTTGTTGTGTTGTTGTTGTGTTGTTGTTGTTGTATTGATATTGTTGTGTTGTTGTTGTATTGATATTGTTGTGTTGTTGTTGTGTTGTTGTTGTTGTTGATATTGTTGTGTTGTTGTTGTATTGTTGTTGTTGTTGTTGTTGTTGTATTGATATTGTTGTGTTGTTGTGTTGTTGTTGTATTGATATTGTTGTGTTGTTGTTGTATTGATATTGTTGTGTTGTTGTATTGTTGTTGTTGTATTGATATTGTTGTGTTGTTGTTGTTGTATTGATATTGTTGTGTTGTTGTTGTTGTGCGTCAGTGGTGGTTGCCGAGGTGACGCAGCCGTCTCTGGGGGTGGGTTATGAACTTGGCCGAGCGAAAGATCTGAACAAACCTGTTCTGTGTCTCTTCAGACCCGAGTCCGGACGACGTGAGTCACACACACTATACACACACACACACTATACACACACTATACACACACACTATACACACACACTTATTCACAGTCTGTAAAAGTGCATCGTGTTAAAAGTGTCATGGTAAAAGTGCATCGTGTGTGTTAAAAGTGCATCGTGTGTTAAAAGTGCGTCGTGTGTGTTAAAAGTGCGTCGTGTGTTAAAAGTGTGTTGTGTGTTAAAAGTGCATCGTGTGTGTTAAAAGTGTGTTGTGTGTTAAAAGTGCGTCGTGTGTGTTAAAAGTGTGTCGTGTGTGTTAAAAGTGCGTCGTGTGTTAAAAGTGTGTTGTGTGTTAAAAGTGCGTCGTGTGTGTTAAAAGTGTCGTGTTAAAAGTGCATCGTGTTAAAAGTGTCGTGTGTGTTAAAAGTGTCGTGTGTGTTAAAAGTGCGTCGTGTGTGATAAAAGTGTCGTGTTAAAAGTGCATCGTGTTAAAAGTGTCGTGTGTGTTAAAAGTCGTGTGTGTTAAAAGTGCGTCGTGTTAAAAGTGCATCGTGTTAAAAGTGTCGTATTAAAAGTGTGTTGTGTGTTAAAAATGTGTCGTGTGTGTTAAAAGTGCATCGTGTGTGTTAAAAGTGCGTCGTGTTAAAAGTGTCGTGTGTGTTAAAAGTGCATCGTGTGTGTTAAAAGTGCGTCGTGTTAAAAGTGTCGTGTGTGTTAAAAGTGCATCGTGTGTGTTAAAAGTACGTCGTGTTAAAAGTGTCGTGTGTGTTAAAAGTGTGTCGTGTGTGTTAAAAGTGTGTCGTGTGTGTTAAAAGTGTGTCGTGTGTGTTAAAAGTGCGTCGTGTTAAAAGTGCATCGTGTTAAAAGTGCATCGTGTTTAAAAGTGTGTGTGTGTGTGTGTTAAAAGTGCGTCGTGTTAAAAGTGCATCGTGTTAAAAGTGCATCGTGTTAAAAGTGTCGTGTGTGTTAAAAATGCGTCGTGTGTGTTAAAAGTGCATCGTGTGTGTTAAAAGTGCGTCGTGTTAAAAGTGTCGTGTGTGTTAAAAGTGCGTCGTGTGTTAAAAGTGTGTTGTGTGTTAAAAGTGTGTCGTGTTAAAAGTGTCGTGTTAAAAGTGTCGTGTTAAGTGTCGTGTGTGATAAAAGTGTGTCATGTGTGTTAAAAGTGTCGTGTGTGTTAAAAGTGTGTTGTGTGTGTTAAAAGTGTGTCTTGTTAAAAGTGCATCGTGTGTGTTAAAAGTGTGTCGTGTTAAAAGTGCATCGTGTGTGTTAAAAGTGCATCGTGTGTGTTAAAAGTGCATCGTGTGTGTTAAAAGTGCATCGTGTGTGTTAAAAGTGCATCGTGTGTGTTAAAAGTGCATCGTGTGTGTTAAAAGTGCATCGTGTTAAAAGTGTCGTGTGTGTTAAAAGTGCGTCGTGTTAAAAGTGTCGTGTGTGTTAAAAGTGCGTCGTGTGTTAAAAGTGTCGTGTGTGTTAAAAGTGTGTCGTGTTAAAAGTGCATCGTGTGTGTTAAAAGTGCATCGTGTGTGTTAAAAGTGCATCGTGTGTGTTAAAAGTGCATCGTGTGTGTTATAAGTGCATCGTGTGTGTTAAAAGTGCATCGTGTGTGTTAAAAATGTGTGTTAAAAGTGCGTCGTGTTAAAAGTGTGTTGTGTGTGTTAAAAGTGCGTCGTGTTAAAAGTGTCGTGTGTGTTAAAAGTGCGTCGTGTGTTAAAAGTGTCGTATTAAAAGTGTGTTGTGTGTTAAAAGTGTCGTGTGTTAAAAATCCGTCGTGTTAAAAGTGTCGTGTGTGATAAAAGTGTGTCGTGTGTTAAAAGTGTCGTGTGTGTTAAAAATGCGTCGTGTTAAAAGTGTCGTGTGTGATAAAAGTGCATCGTGTGTGTTAAAAGTGCGTTGTGTTTGTTAAAAGTGTGTTGTCGTGTCGTGTCTCAGGTTTGTCGGCGATGATCCGAGGAGCTGCAGACGGACAGAGGTTTGTGGTCCTGGACTACACCCAGGACCAGGTTGAGTCCATCCTGAACCAGTACTTCTCCCAGAACAAGATCTGAACCAGGACTGGACCAGGACTGGACCAGGACTGGACCAGGTCTAAACCAGGACTCGAGCACTTTGCCACATTTGTATTAAAATCTTGTGAATAAAAAGTGTAAACCTTTTGTGTGAAGGTGAGTCCGTCTGTTCTTCTGGTGAGGATCACGTTTCTGACTCTGTGTTGGTGTTTCTCTGTCGCCCCCTGGTGGTTTTAAAAATGAAGTCGACAAAAACACGACTCACGACGACGAGAACGGAGAGAAAATGAGACGGAAGTAAAAGTAAAATCTTCTGGTTGTTTGAGTAAATCTGTTTGAGCTTCACTTGGGCCTTGTGTTCTGTTTCTGAGCTTCTGTCAGGAACCGAGACTTGAACCTCAGCACTTTTTGTTTCTTTTTTTAAATTAATATGAAAATGAGAATTATACAGAAAAAGTGACCCAGCGGGAGTTAAACTAAGAAAATGAATCAAATAATAGAGTAAAATAAAGTCCTGAGTGAGTCCTGGAGCAGCAGAGACTCGTAGGGACCAGCAGGGGGCAGCAGAGACTCGTGGGGACCAGCAGGGGGCAGCAGAGACTCGTGGGGACCAGCAGGGGGCAGCAGAGGTTCAGGTTCTGGTGAGTCTTGTTTGGATTTGAGCTGCAGATTAAACCCGATCGAAATAAAAATGTGTTTTACACAAGAAAAACAGAAAAAAGTCTAGAGAAATGTCTGGTTTAGTCCTGGTTTAATCCTGGTTTAGTCCTGGTTCAGACCTGGTTTAGTCCTGTTATAGTCCTGGTTTAGTCCTGGTTCAGACCTGGTTCATGTTCATTATAAAAATCCTTTAATTGGATCCGGTTGAGATCTGGGTTTAGTCCGGATTTTGTGAGACGAGTTTGGTCCAGATGGAAAAAGGATCAGTCCAGAGTCAGACCCTGATAGTCCAGGTCCAGAACCAGGTCCAGACCATAGACTCTATAAAATATAAAGGGTCAAAGGTTCAGTCCGGGTTTAGTCCGGGTTTAGTTGGACTTTTGTAAGAAAATAAAAATGTTTCAATTGGGACTGAACCAGAACTGAACCAGACTTAAACGTGGCCCAGTTCCCGGTCCAGAGCGGGTCCACACTGGGGTGGTCCGGTCTCTGATCCTAAATCCAGCTGTTCCTCCGCAGCGTTTGAACCTCAGACTCAGATCCGGGTCGGGATCCGGATCGGAACTTTTACACTTTTATTTTATTTCTGTTTTTTTCATCAGAAATTTACAAAATCCACAAATGTTTTTTCCTCAGAACCAAAACTAAACCAGGACTAGACCAGGACTAAACAGAGTCTGAACCAGGACTGAATCAGGTCCGCAGTCGGTCTCTCTGAAGTCCCTGGTCCTGGTTTTGTCTTCTCGTCCTCTCAGTGGGACAGAGGAGATTTATGTCCACACCTGCTTTTAGGATCAATGTCCCCGGAATCTGACCCCAGACCCGGTCTAGACCTCGTGTAGGCCTGGTGTAGTCCTGGTTTAGTCCTGGTTTAGACCTGGTTTAGTCCTTGTTTAGTCCTGGTTTAGACCTGGTTTAATCCTGGTTTAGACCTGGTTTAGTCCTGGTTTAGACCTGGTTTAGTCCTGGTTTAGACCTGGTTTAGTCCTGGTTTAGTCCTGGTTTAGACCTGGTTTAGTCCTGGTTTAGACCTGGTTTAGTCCTGGTTTAGTCCTGGTTTAGACCTGGTTTAGTCCTTGTTTAGTCCTGGTTTAGTCCTGGTTTAGTCCTGGTTTAGACCTGGTTTAGTCCTGGTTTAGTCCTGGTTTAGTCCTGGTTTAGTCCTGGTTTAGTCCTGGTTTAGACCTGGTTTAGTCCTGGTTTAGACCTGGTTTAGTCCTGGTTTAGTCCTGGTTTGGTCCTGGTTTAGTTTCACTTTGAGTTTTGGTCTCAGTCAAAGTTTTCATCGTGTGAGTCTCTGGGTCCTGGGACAGTCCTGAGTCCAACTCTGGACTCTGACCTGACTCTGACCTGACTTTGACTCTGACCTGACTCTGACCTGAATCAGATTTATCCCTTTTTAATGTCATGTTCTAAATGTGTTTTCAGCTCGTTTTTTTGTGTTTTTTGGTGAGTTTTGTTTTGTTTTTAGTGGTTTTTTAGCATGTTTTTGTTGTATTTTGGTGTTTTTTGACGTGTTTTGGTTTGTTTTTGGTCTTTTCTGTGTGTTTTTGTCGTGTTTTTTGTCGTGTTTTTTGACGTGTTTTTGTCGTGTTCTGCAGACGCACTTTCTTGTCTCAGATCAGATCTTTTGTTTTCAGATGAAACTTTGACACTGAACATTCAGTTTTTTCTGTTTTTCAGTTTTTTCTGTTTTTCTGTGTTTTTGTTTTTTCTGTGTTTCTGTTTCCAGACTGAGACCAGAATAACCCAGATGCCCCGGTCAAGGAGGGTCAGAGGTCACAGGTCGACTCAGCACTTTATAAAGACAACAGAGGTCAAAGGTCAGAGAGCAGCTGACACTAACACAGATGCCCTCCCCCATCCCCCCCGTGTTGTGTGTCAGATGCCCTCCCCACTCTGTTTTTAGAGTATTTTTACTCTGTTTTTACTGTGTTTATTTGTTTTATTGATTTATTTAAATGTCAAAACTCTGAGTCACAAATAAAACAACCTGATCTCCTCCTGCAGCAAGTGAAGAGAAACAACACAGGACCTGAGTCTGACGTCCATCTGCAGCCAAAACCCTTTGAGTGAGTTTTTATTGTGTGTTTTAATTGTGTTCTTTTTATTGTGTTTTTATTGTGTTTTTATTGTGTGTGTTTATTGTGTCAGATGCCCTCCCTCTCGTCCCTCTCGTCGTGTGTTTTTTTCTTTGACCGTGAAGAGGAAATGATTAAAGTGATTATTCAGAGTTCCCCCCCCCCCCACACACACACACACACACACACACACACAGACACACACAGACACACACACACACACACACACACACAGACACACACACAGACACACACACACAGACACACACACACACACACAGACACACACACACACACACACACACACACAGACACACACACACACACACACACACACACACACACACACACACACAGACACACAGACACACAGACACACACACACACACACACACACACAGACACACACACACACACACACACACAGACACACACACACACACACACACACAGACACACACACACACACACACAGACACACACACAGACACACACACAGACACACACACACACACACACACACACACAGACACACACACACACACACACAGACACACACACACACACACAGACACACACACACACACAGACACACACACACACACACACACACACAGACACACACACACACACAGACACACACACACACAGACACACACACACACACACACACACACAGACACACACACACAACAGAACAACCAGAACTAAACCAGGACTAAACCAGGACTAAACCAGAACTAAACCAGGACTAAACCCGGACTAAACCAGGACTAAACCAGGACTAAACCAGGACTAAACCAGGACTAAACCAGGACTAAACCAGGACTAAACCAGGACTAAACCCGGACTAAACCAGGACTAAACCAGGACTAAACCAGGACTGCACTAAAGACCTGGTCCTGGTTCTGGTTTTGGGTCTTGAGGTCTTCAGATAAAAAAAATAAATAAAACGACCAACCAGAAAAATCCATTAGTGACGCTCAATCTCCACCTCCACTTCCACCTCTCTCTCTCTCTCTCTCTCTCTCTCTCTTTCTCTTCGGTCTGTTGGTTTATGAGGCGTTCAGGTGAAACAGTTGAACCGGAACAATCCATTAGTGACAGGGACAGACAGGTGAAGACAGGGACAGACAGGTGAAGACAGGGACAGACAGACAGGTGAACGTCTCTGTCAGGAGACGAGGACGGACAGATGAACCTGAAGGAAAAGAGAGAAAAAGAGACAAATACAGAGAGACGAAGAGAAGAGGAGAAGAGGAAGAGAAGAGAAGAACAGATGAAGAGGAGGAGAGGAGGAAGAGGAGAGGAGGAAGAGGAGTAGAGTAGAGGATGTCCCTGTCAGTGGGGGTCAAAGGTCACACAGTTGTGAGTCTTTGAAGAGTCTCAGAAGCTCCGGAAACTTCCACTGATCCATGATGAGATCCACAGATGCTCCAGAGACTGAGAGAGAGAAAGAGAGAGAGAGAGGAGAGAGAAGAGAAGGAAGGAGGAGAGGAGGAGGAGAGGAGGAGGAGGAGAGGAGGAAGAGGAGAGGAGGAAGAGGAGGAGGAGAGGAGAAGAGAGGAGGAGAAGAGGAGGAGAGGAGGAGGAGGAGGAGAGGAGGAAGAGAGGGAGGAGAGAGGAGGAGGAGGAGGAGGAAGAGGAGGAGAGGAGGAGGAAGGAGGAGGAGGAGGAGAGGAGGAGAAGAGGAGGAGGAGAGGAGAAGAGGAGGAGGAGAGGAGGAAGAAGAGGAGGAAGAGGAGAGGAGAAGAAGAGGAGGAGGAGAGGAGAGGAGAAGAGGAGGAGAGAGGAGGAGGGAGAGGAGGAGGAGGATGGGAGGCAAAATAAGTTCAGTTCCTCTTCAGTCTTTCCCCAGAAACCTGCTCCACACCTCCTCCTCCTCCTCCTCCTCTTTCTCTCTCTTTCTTTCTCTCCGTCTCTTCTTTAACCTTTTTCTTTTCTTCCGTCTCTTTTTTGTTTTTCTGATTTGAGACAAAAACTGAACATTTTATTTTTCCTCGACGTCGTTGGTGAAAAAAAATCAAAGATTCTTTTTCTGTTTGAAAAAATAAAATCAAAACCAAAGAAAAGACAGGAGCAACGACAGGAGCAACGACAGGAGCAACGACAGGAGCAGAGACAGGAGCAGAGACAGGAGCAACGACAGGAGCAACAGGACAAGGGAGACAGACGACAGAGCAGAGACAGGAGCAGAGACAGGAGCAACGACAGGAGCAACGACAGGAGCAGAGACAGGAGCAGAGACAGGAGCAGAGACAGGAGCAACGACAGGAGCAGAGACAGGAGCAGAGACAGGAGCAGAGACAGGAGCAACGACAGGAGCAGAGACAGGAGCAGAGACGACAGGAGCAGAGACAGGAGCAACGACAGGAGCAACGACAGGAGCAGAGACAGGAGCAACGACAGGAGCAGAGACAGGGGCAGAGACAGGAGCAACGACAGGAGCAAGGACAGGGGCAGAGACAGGAGCAACGACAGGAGCAGAGACAGGAGCAACGACAGGAGCAGAGACAGGAGCAGACAGGAGCAGAG